AACAACATGGTGGATATAATGTTAATGCGAGATTCTTCACAACAGAAATTTGTTTTCATCTCACCTTATAAAAATAAAATGGTTGCAAATCGAGAACTTCAATAATCCAGGGAAAAGTACGAGGTGAGCTATAGGCAAAGAGCACAATTTCCAAACAACAGGCCATCAAGGAACGATTGAATATATCCTGTTCTAAAAGAACCTTGGGGAAGAAAAAGAACGCAATTTATTATTTTCCAGCAATTTCATTCTTTGCCATTCTGTGAAAAAGACTATAGAAACTAAACTAGACAGCTTTTGTAAATTGTATTATACTAAGTTACTTTAGATAAAAATTAAAGTTTTCAAACTGGTAATGAATATTTTATTATATCAAACCTTGCTCCACGGTAAATTTTAAGTTTAAATAAGGTGTACACAAAAAAATGCTTTGAAATTTGAACAAATATTCCCATAAAGAGAAAAGCATTATATCTGGTTCTTTTTTAAAGGCAGTCAATTGTTTATCGACATTGTTGTTAAGTACTGTCAAGTAGTTTCCAACTCATAGCAACCATAAAAGGGTTTTTGAGGAGCTCATAGTGGGATTGAGCAACCAACCTTGTGGTTAATAGACCAAATGCTTATCCTAGAATACCACACCAGAACTCTATTTATCAACATAAGGGTTTATTAATCAATATACTGGAATGGAAGGTATTACGGACTTAATTGTGTACCCAAAACTTTATGTTGGAATTCCTAAAACCTATACCTGCAAATATGAGGGAGCTTCCTTTTGTTATGCTAATGAGATGCTATGAAGACAATGACATTGGTAGCTTGATAGTAAAAGGATGAGAAAAGATAAACTATGAAAACATTAATCAAAACTAAATGCTAGAGTAGCTCTATGAACATCAGATAAAGTAGCTAAGAAAAACACCAGAGATATAAACATTACATAATGATATATGCCAACCCAACAACCCAAAAGATTGTACTGAGTTCTGGTATGGCACTGTAGGATGAGCACTGTACTGTAAGGTTGGTTTGAACCAAAAGGTTGATGACTCAAACCCACCAGCCGCTTCCTGGAAACCCTTTACAGGCACTTAACAACAATAACAACAACATTGGATAGTACAGGTACTAGTCAGACTTGGGCAAATGTTCAAAAAAATAAGCATTTTTTTTTTAATCCAAAATTCTTGGGAGGTTATGAGTAAGGACCATAATTATCAGTTGGCTGAACAGGTGGTGGGGATTCATTATTAGCTACCTAGAAATGTAAGAGCAAATAAAAATGGACCTGAAGGGAAAGGTCAGTAATGCTGTGCCAAAGGTGAGTTTTACATATTTCACAGCCTCGGAAACCCTACACAGGGTAGCTATGAGTCAGAACCAGTTCTACAACATACCATCACCACAACCTAAAAATGGTTAGCTCTGTTTCAAAGTCAACCAAAGTCAACTAATATATTCTCTTTGCCATGTCTACCATAGACTACTAAGCCTCCTACACAAAACAATGCTAGGCTTCGGTTTAGAAGAGTGAATCTACTTACTGACATGTCCATTCCATGAAGTCTTCGTGTTTCCTGAACCATTACAGTCTCTAATATTTTATAATACAAAATTTCTGCCAGTTTTAGTCTGTTTACAGCAAAGTCTATAAAGTCAATAAAGGGAAAACATGTACTAAGTAAATTTAGTTTAGCTGTTAAGGACTGAAGAAAAAAACTGATTCAATAACAAATAAGGAAACACTTGATTTTGATTTCAACATTTTTGGAGGTAACTTTCAATGCTGTGTATCAACTTTATATTTCTCTTCTTACCTATGTGAGATCCTGGTTGTTCATCTGTTGACTGGGTATAGTGTTGGCAAAAAGACATTCCTATTCCTTTCACTATTTTTGTAATGGTTTCCATAGGATTACGCATACAAGATCTATAAAATACAAGAGTAACTTAATTACCAAGAAAAAACCGAGACTAACAACATTTCCTCACCAACACCCATCCAACATTTTTTAAGAATTTGCTTGGTTTTTAGTGGACATAGATTTAGTCTGCATTATAAACTCAGATGAATAAATAATAAAATGTCTGACTCAAGTCCTACAAACAAATCTATAACCTTTAAATAAAATGGGATACTGTTTTGAAGTTTAAACATTAGAAACACTAACATCCTGTATATCATGCTTCTATTTATATGAAACTTAAGAAAAGGCAAAAATATAGGGACAGAAAACATATCTGTGGTTTCCAGAGGCAGGGAGAGGCGTTGATCACTAAGGGGCAGACCAGCACTTTAACCACTGTGCTACCAGAGCTCCACTTATTTCATTAGATATTAGGAAAACAGGTTCTCTGATCTGGCTTCATTCTACCATACTTTCCAGGAAACACAACTCCTTTTTTAAAGCAATTTTATAAAATTCCATGTCATGGTTGCATTATCAATATGTAATTGGTTCCCCATTTGATATTTAGATTAAACCAGTCATTGCAAAAAGAAAAATATTACCGCACAACTTAGTTAACAACAGTGGAGTGTCCAAACCAAATGAACTTTAGTCTATAATCCTATGAAATTCTATAAATGTGTAGCATTATGTTGTTTTTATTAAGTGCCAACAAGTCGATTCAGACCCATAGCGACCTTGTATAGGGTTTCCAAGGAGCGACTGGTGGATTTGAACCACCAACTTTGCAGTTCAAATTGATCTTATGGATCAATGCATTATCCTGCAGCACCACACTGGGACTCCCATTTTTGATAACCAATGTTTAAACTGCCTGTCCAGGAGTCCTCATGTGATGCTGTGGGTTAATGCACTAGACTGTATGATCAGTTTGAACCTCAAGGTTGTCAGTTCAAGCTCACCAGCCGCTCCTTGAAAACCCTACACAGAGTCGCTATGAGTTGGAACCGACGCAAGATATTTAACAACAAAAATCAAACCAGTACACTGAGGAGACAAGCGTGTTCCTTGACATGATTTTTGAGCAATTGCATTCATAAGCAAAAGTCCAGTCCAACAAATCACAGCAATGATACTTGCTCAGAGTATCAAACATCTTTATCTCCATCCAATCAGGTTCTGGTCAGCTCCACCCACCTTAGCCAACCAAGCTAGGTCAAATGGGTACTAGCT